TATATTTGTTGTAATTAAGTTAGGTTAGGGTTTGGCTGCTCTCTCAATTTGGGGTTTTCTGAAACAGGGTTTATTTGGCAACCAACGAACGAGTGAAGACGAACACAGGCTCGATCTCATCGATTAGGTAAACATAATTCTCTCTCCCTCTCCCTCTCCCTTCCCTTTCTTCTCTCTCTCTCTTCTCTCTCTCTCTCTCTCTCTCTCTCTCTCTCTTCCATTGTTGAAGCAATTTCAGTTTGGTGTTTGAATTAATGTTCTAATTTTCAGCTTTGGCTTTGAATTAATGTTCTAATTTTCAATTTTGGGATTAAGGTTCTAATTATTATCATGAGATCCATGAAGCAATTTCAGTTCTTAGGGTTTGATTGGCAATGATGGTGTTGCTTTGTTTGTTATCATGAGATCCATGAACCCAAATCTCCTATTTTTCTGCCCTTATTTTATTTTTAATTTCTGTTTATGTACTTTGTTTGTTTGTTAAACACACTACCTGTTTCCTGCAATGTGGGTTTGTTTTTTCACATGGGTTATCTTTAAATTTGGGATTTTCTCCTTTTCATTCCTCTGTGTGTGCCGAATTTTTCTATTACCTTGCTATTTGTCAATGTCAGGTGTTTTTTATCTCTCTTTTCCGCATCTTAAAGATTTAGGAGTTATTTTGACATTTCATAGGTCCAATCATGTTTCATAATTTTGTATCACGCATAGTAGTTGCATAATCTGTTTCACACTGCATTGAAGAGAATCGTGTTTCTATTAAAAAACTTCAAAGAGCATGTGTTATCATAATGTGGGATGGCAACTGCAGGTTTCTTGGTGTGTACCTTGCTTCTGAATGAAATTATAGGTATTATAGACTCAAGTTATACATGATGTTCAAGTAAGTGATGGTAGAGTTTATTGTTTGTTTAGTCCTTACAACACTTATTATTTGGTGCGTAGGAAATTCTTATGTAATACAAATGAATGAGTGACGCTTGAAAAAAAGGAAATTATGCACTGGAATTTATCTGTCATGTGTTATATGATCCAATTGGAAAATATCTTGATGCCAAAAAAAAAAGGATCACTAAGTCACAAATTGGCAATTCATTTCTTGGATAAGATGAGGAACAAAACTAGGGTGTCGAGGTGGCTTTATAATGTGTTGATGATATATCTGCATGTGTGCCTTGGTGCTATGAGAGATGTTTTATATCAGTATATTGCAAATTATTGAGAGCAAATGCCTTTTCTTTAGTGAAGAGGTACGATGACCGTAAGTTGCTTGTTGAAGAGTAGATGCTTAATAGTTATCCAATGGTAATTGTGACCGTGAGCAACAACTACAAATTCACTGCATCTATATTCTTTTTCATGTACATAATGCTTTGATTAGTTATTTCTTGGTTATATCACAATATTATTTGTTCTTGTTTTAATACACACACACACACACACACACACACACACACACACATATATGTATATATACAAATCACTAGTTGGTATCGATGACAAAGAAGGGGGCATCTTCATCAAATCCTACAGCTACATGGAATGCCCACAATATATCTATATTTTGTGATGTATGCATCAAGGAGGTTGAGGCCGGACATCGTCCGAGCACTCACTTTGACAAAGATGGATATGCAAATATTAGAGCTAACTTCAAAGCAGAGACAGGGCATGATTATGAAAGAAAGCAACTGAAAAATAAGTGGGATGCACTTAAAAATGAGTGAAAGTTGTGGAAAGAGCTAGTTGGTAAAGAAACAGGACTAGGGTGGAATTCGAGTAAGGGTACTGTTGATGCCTCTGAAGAGTGGTGGAATAATAAAATTCAGGTTCGTGTATTTATCTTTTAATATTTATTATGATATCATGCATTATGTATTAACCATATTCTTTCTTTACTTGTAGATAAACAAAGAATATGGAAAATTGTGGAAAAAAGGCATTAGTCCTGAGATGGAGGATAAGTTAGATAGGATGTTCTCGAATACAATTGTTACCGGTGAACATGCCTGGGCACCTTCATCTGGAGTACTACCACCAGAGACGAGAGGAATCTATAAGGCAAATTGATTTAGATGATGAGGAAGAAAGTGAGACTATGCAAGTCTAAGGCAAGCTACTAGGAAGGAACAAAAAGAGCAACTAACCAAGGAGAATTGCAAAAAAAGAAGGTTGATAAGAAAGGGAAAAAAATTGGAGGTGCTACAAAACTTTGTGGTCAAATTGATCGTCTTGTTGAAACTTATGAAAGTAGGAGTTCTGCAAACTCATTGATGAGGTCGCTGCATATAGGCTGTCGTATTGCTGAAGTGATAAGGTTTGTTGAACAATTGCCTGATTGTGAGTCACCTAATGAGTTATGGTTGTTTGCTATATGTTTATTTTGTAGCGCAGAGAAGCGAGAGGTGTTTGCCATTATGAAAGATCTTGAAGTGCAGCTGACTTGGTTGAAATATATTCAACAAAGAACAATAAGAAGCTAAAACTATGAATTAGGACTATGTGGTTGTATGTTACTTGTACTTTGTGTTTATTGAATGTTGGATTATATGTTGAATGTTGGATTATGATTTCTTATTAAATGTTGGATTATTCTTGAATGTCGAATTATGACTTCTTAGTGATTGTTGGATTATGACTTATGGATTGTTGAATTATGTGTTATGTTACATATGTATATTCAATATGAACACCTATGATAATGATGTTAAGGATTTGGATGATGGTCTAATTATATGCGCTGTAACGAGAGATGTTCAAACATATTATTTAAAATATGTCCACAAAACTCCGTGTATGAATTCTTTCCAAACAGGTAATATTTGGTTGATGGAAGTACTACAAGGAAATGATGTGCGATGCTATAGAATGTTTAGGATGAACAAAGATGTCTTTTATAGATTATCCAATGACTTGCAAACTAATTATGGATTGAAAGGTTCAAGGAGAATGAGTGCAATTGAAATATTAGGAATGTTCTTGCATATGTTGGGGCATGATATGAAAAATAGATTAGCGCAAGAGAGATTTCAACATTCTGGTGAGACTATTAATAGATATTTTAGTGCTATGTTGGATATCATATGTAAGATGACAATAGATATTATCAAACTAATGGATTCAGAGTTTCGTGGCATTTCCCAAGAAATAAGGAAAGATACAAGATACATGCCTCATTTTAAGGTAAAGTTTGACTCGTCTTCTAACTTATTTGCAAACTAGAAGTGTAGGTTGACGGTTTTCTTCTATGTTATTATTTTTAGGATTGTATTGGTGTCATAGATGGAGTACATGTTAAGGCTTCAATACCACCTTGGGATCAAGGTCCATACAATACCGACTCAAAATGTTATGGCTATATGTAATTTTGACATGCAATTCACATTTGCTTGTGTCAGATGGGAAGACACTCCACATGATACAAGGGTTTTTCTATCCGTGCTACGGAATCCAAATTTAAACTTTTCTAAGCCTCCAAATGGTAATCTTCATACTTGCTTTGTATTATTACAACATTTTACATACTTGCTTTGTATAATTATTACAATACAAAACAAAATTTTCAATTGTCAAGAAAATATTACTTGGTAGATGCGGGGTACCCACAAATGAGAGGTTATTTGGGACCATATAAAGGTGAAAGATATCATCTCCCGGACTTTCGTAGGAGTGCCTAACCAACGAGTCATAAAGAGGTATTCAACCACATGCTTTCTTCTTTTAGGAGCATCATTGAACGAACTTATAGGGTATGGAAGAAAAGATGGGCAATTTTTAAAGGATATGCCTAATTACCGGTTCAATAAGCAAGTGAAGATTGTCACTGCTACAATGACTCTTCATAACTACATACGGATGTATTCTAAACGTGATCGTCATTTTGATGACCTCAAGGACTTTTGTGAAGAGAGCGATAGTAGTGATGATGATGATAATGATGATGATGATAAAGAATATCAAAATTATCAAGTTGAAGGATCACATGAGATAGAGGCATTAAGAAATAGCATAACGGCAAGTTTGATAAATGCATCTAATTAGACTACCTTCAAGTACATTAACAATATTGTGCTAATGAATCCTAGCTGTTCAGTATAAAATATTTCAATTGAAAGTAGTTTTTCATACTAATTAATATTTAAGATAAAGTTTATAAATATTTTTCTTTTAAAAATAAAATATATTTAGTAATTAACCTTTATTTGTTAAGAAAATTAAATTAATAGCACATCTAGTATTATACCCATTTTGGTCATTTCACACAGTCATAACAATTTTACATAAAAGTTTACCAAAAACTATCCTACTGCTTTTTTTTTTTTTTTTTTTAAAAGCACTTTTACAAAAAGTTTACCAAACACTCTGCTGCTTTATTTTACAACCGCTTATTTTCACAGCATAGCAGAAACAACTTTTTTTCAAAGCACAATAATACCAAACCAGCTCTTGGTCTCTGAGTTTGTCCACAATCAATCATTTTGATTATTCCGTGAAAAATTTCCATAAAATAAGGGTAAAATGATAAAAATATCCTCAATTTTTGTTAAATCATTTTGGCCTATGTTTATTAAATTAAGGGCAATTTTGTCATTTTGATCATTGTTTAACATAATTTTTCACCTAAGGACAAAAATGATTGATGATTGATAATTTCAGAGACCACTTATATTGATTTCAAATCTCAAAGTTGACTACAGAACTTTACTTTTTACATATTAAAATCACACTTAATTTTTTCAGTCCACTCCAAAAACAAAGAGAGAGAAAAAAGAAGGCAAGTGTTATTCACACTCCAAAAATCTTATTCTACACTTCTCACAATTCTATTTTTCATTTTAAATATAGAAAATTTGGACTATAGATTAAAAAGTTTTAAACGTGAATAATAATTCCCAAAAATAAGAAGAGTCACGTTTATATTCGAGAACCAAAAAAGCAGTAAACCAAAACATTTCTTTCCTAACAAGAAAAGGAGTTAACCTCCCATATAAATATCCAACCCCCAACTCCACAACCCACCAAATTGCTTTCAGCTACTCTTCTGTTCTCTCTTCCAAATCTTCCATCGACTTAAACAATCTCAAGCTCTCTCTCCCTTCGTCGTCCTTTGGTCTTCTGCTCCGCCTTCCACCATGACGGATAAGGCTGAATCCTCAGACTCGTAAGTCCCCAGATCCCTCTCTAATCCAACTGGGTTCTACTCGATTTCGATCCATATCAATTGTTTTTGCGTTTTTTGTTTTTGGATATTTCTGGGTTTTGATGCGATTGTGGTTTTTTGTTGTTATTTTGCAGTAAGGGAACGAAAAGGGACTTCAGTACTGCGATCCTCGAGCGCAAGAAGGCTGCGAATCGGCTCGTTGTCGACGATGCTATCAATGACGACAACTCCGTCGTCGCGCTCCACCCGGATACGATGGAGAAACTCCAGCTCTTTCGTGGCGACACCATCTTGATCAAGGTTTGATTTTTCACATCATCTTCTATGATTTCTATGTTCCTTATGTATGCGAAAGCAAACCTTTGGATGGAATTTTACTTGCAAGGGCTTTCTAGTTAGGGTTAATGGAAATTTACGATTTAGGTAGTGATTAAAGGCTGTATATAATCTGGGTTGATGGGTTTTTCTCTATTTTATTTGGGATCTGAGAACTGGTTTGTGTTCTGCTGTCTGAAGTTTTGGGGTTTTTATTTTTTATCAATTTGCCGGGTTTTGATGGTTACGCCTCTACTTTTTCACTGATTACAACTCAAGAGGTATCTATGGAAAGATTATCCAAATCAATATTGTTTAATGTCTCTTTCCCCGACTTATGCCCCTATTAGAATTAGCTTTTGAGGATATAATATGTATGATTCGCTCGAATTGAAACTATGCATGTGATGTTGTGGTTTGGTTGGCTTTTATTGTCATTGGCTGTTTGGGTATTGCGCTTTGGTATTAGTAGCATGAATGCTCTCCGTTCTGCCTAAGCTTTGGTTTGTAAAGAATCACAACTAATGGTTCGTTTATTTTGTTTGGTCTTTAGGGAAAGAAAAGGAAGGATACCATCTGCATTGCTCTTGCTGATGATACATGTGAAGAACCTAAGATCAGGATGAACAAGGTTGTGAGGAGCAACCTAAGGGTTAGGCTTGGTGATGTTGTTTCTGTTCACCAATGTGCTGATGTCAAGTATGGAAAGCGTGTCCACATTCTGCCTGTGGATGATACTATTGAAGGAGTCACTGGAAATCTGTTTGATGCGTACTTGAAACGTAAGTTTCTGTATTAACCCTTTTTATTCTCAGCTGCAACTGGAGCCTAACATATGAATATTTCGTATATAGTTACCATATTTTTAAAAAGTTTGCTTTTGTTTGGTTGCAGTTAGTGGAACTGTTTATCAATCTTTGGATGCATAGATACATACTATTCCACAAATTGAGAAATAACTGAATCATATTTTTACCTCATTGATACATGAATGCTTAGAAATATGATGTTTCGTTTTTATATATTTGAATCAATAGACAGTGTCGATGTTGAAGAGAATCTTATGACCCATAATTTAACTTACTATGTTTAGATATAATGACTATATGCTTAGGGAAGAGTGTTTGGGTTATATTATGTTTACAAGTTTCGATTAAATATACTGTAGCTAGTACTGATAGTTGTCAGAACTAACTGATTTTATCAGTAACTGCTGGTTTAATTCTTTGTACCATTCATTTTTACCTGTTTTCTGGTCTGTTTTTTCAGCTTATTTTCTGGAGGCCTACCGTCCAGTGAGAAAGGGTGATCTCTTCCTTGTGAGAGGAGGAATGAGGAGTGTGGAGTTTAAGGTCATTGAAACTGACCCTCCTGAGTACTGTGTGGTCGCTCCCGACACTGAAATTTTCTGTGAGGGGGAGCCTGTGAAAAGGGAGGATGAGGAGAGATTAAATGAGGTTGGCTATGATGATGTTGGTGGAGTTAGGAAACAGATGGCTCAGATTCGTGAATTAGTGGAGCTGCCACTGAGGCACCCTCAGTTATTTAAATCAATTGGTGTGAAGCCACCAAAGGGTATTCTGCTGTATGGACCTCCTGGATCGGGTAAGACTCTAATTGCCCGAGCTGTGGCTAATGAAACTGGGGCATTCTTTTTCTGCATCAATGGACCAGAAATTATGTCAAAATTGGCTGGAGAGAGTGAAAGCAACCTCAGGAAAGCTTTTGAGGAGGCAGAGAAGAATGCACCATCAATCATCTTCATTGATGAGATTGATTCAATTGCTCCCAAGAGAGAGAAGACGCATGGAGAAGTTGAGAGGAGGATTGTTTCCCAGCTTTTGACACTCATGGATGGGCTTAAATCTCGTGCCCATGTGATTGTTATGGGGGCTACAAATCGTCCGAACAGTATTGATCCAGCTCTCAGAAGGTTTGGAAGATTTGATAGGGAAATAGATATTGGTGTGCCAGATGAAATTGGGCGTCTTGAGGTTGTTCGTATTCATACAAAGAACATGAAGCTTGCTGAAGATGTAATGTCAAATATAATTATTTTCTGTTTTTGACATTATTTTTATTTCAAGTTCGTATCCTTTTCTTCCCTCTTTCAAAACATGGTTACCAATGCTTGACTTTTCTTGTACAGGTTGATTTGGAGAAGATAGCTAAGGATACACATGGTTATGTTGGTGCCGATCTAGCTGCTTTGTGTACTGAGGCTGCCCTTCAGTGCATCAGAGAGAAGATGGATGTAATTGACTTGGAAGATGAGGAAATAGATGCGGAGATACTCAATTCAATGGCAGTTACAAACGAGCACTTCAAGACTGCCCTTGGCACAAGCAACCCATCTGCTCTTCGTGAAACAGTAAGTATTTAGCTCTTTGCTTCAAGTGACAGAGGTTTTTTTATTAGACACCTTATGCATCGAATGGAACCCATAATTTCATGGTTTACAGGTTGTTGAAGTGCCCAATGTTAGTTGGGAAGATATTGGTGGTCTTGAGAATGTTAAGCGTGAACTTCAAGAGGTAATTGAGTTTACTACATTGGATTGTTCATTCAAGTTTACTCTATTTATCTCATTTGGCTCTGTTACTTACAGTATCTATCCTTGTATTATTTTGTATTGCAGACTGTTCAGTATCCTGTTGAGCATCCTGAGAAGTTTGAGAAATTTGGAATGTCACCCTCCAAGGGAGTTCTTTTCTATGGCCCTCCTGGATGTGGTAAAACTCTTCTCGCCAAAGCTATTGCCAATGAGTGTCAGGCAAACTTCATCAGTGTCAAGGGACCTGAATTGCTTACCATGTGGTTTGGAGAGAGTGAGGCCAATGTGCGGGAAATTTTTGACAAGGCCCGCGGATCTGCTCCTTGTGTCCTGTTCTTTGATGAACTTGATTCCATTGCTACTCAGGTTTGAGCCTTTCTTTATATAAAATCACTGCTTATTTGTTATTGACACTGGCTTCTATTTGCAAATTGAAATTAACATGTGTAGTTTGAAAAAGGGAAAAATATTTGCTCTGTAATATGACTAAATAGAAGACTCCAAATTCTGTTGCAGAAACTTGAATTATTACTTGCGTTTCATAGGTTATCTGTTGTTAATAGGAGAAAACTTCGCATTTTGTGAAAGTGAAAGAAACTTGAATTTTTAATGCTCAGAAACTTTTGACAAACACGGCAGAGAACTCTTGATAAAAGAACGTTTGCAGTATTTTCGTTTGGGTCATCGTTGATGTGTTTATCTATTTATATGCTTATTGCTTCCATTCCATCTTGCAGAGAGGTAGTAGCGTAGGTGATGCTGGGGGTGCTGCTGATAGGGTTTTGAACCAACTCCTCACAGAAATGGATGGAATGACTGCAAAGAAAACTGTTTTCATTATCGGTGCCACCAACAGACCTGATATCATAGACCCTGCACTTTTGCGTCCAGGCCGCCTGGATCAGTTGATTTACATTCCTCTCCCTGATGAGGAGTCCCGTTTTCAAATATTCAAGTCTTGCTTGAGGAAGTCTCCTGTTTCCAAAGATGTGGACATCAGAGCCCTTGCTAAGTACACCCAAGGATTTAGTGGTGCTGATATAACAGAAATATGCCAGCGTGCTTGCAAATATGCCATTAGAGAGAATATTGAGAAGGTATATGATATTGCACTGCTCTTATACTTGCTGCACTTTTTTGTCCCTGGGAGAAATGGATTTTTTTTTTTTTTTGTCTGAGTTCATTTCTGAATAACCGTTATATTTTAATCTTGCAGGATCTTGAGAAGGAGAGGAGGAGAAACGAGAATCCTGAGGCAATGGAGGAGGATGTTGAGGATGAAATTGCAGAGATCAAGGCTGCTCATTTTGAGGAGTCGATGAAGTATGCTCGCAGGAGTGTTAGCGATGCTGATATCCGCAAATACCAGGCATTTGCGCAGACATTGCAGCAGTCGAGAGGGTTTGGAACAGAGTTCAGGTTTGCAGACAATCCTACTGGCACAACTGTTGCATCCGACCCTTTTGCAACTGCTGCTGCTGGGGCAGATGAAGATGACCTTTACAGTTAGGATGGTTTTCGTTAAGCAGCGTCTTTTTCGTGCTTGAATTTTAATTGTTGCATTTTGTATTTTCCGTCGATGACGTGGTAGAATCGTTGAAGTGTCCATTTAATCGTTGTTGTACCCAAAGAAGCCTTGGGGTTTCCGGCCATTGGCACCCCTGGATAATACGAAGTTAAAAACAGTGTTGATTATTTTATAAGATTAATGGACAACTTAAAAAATCATCATGTTTTGTTTCAGATTGTTAGATGCTAGTTTTGTTTTTGGTCATATGTTTTCATATGCAGGTCAGCTCTGTGTGGTGAGTGTCAAGGAGATGTCTTGGTGTATAGACTCGAATGATTAGAGTATGTGCTAGCTTTTCAAACCAATTTTACCCAGGGCCTTGTTGCACTGATCAGTTCGGACGGGCATGGTGCACGACGCCCTCCGAGAAACCGTGTCCGTATCCAAATCAATTTGTTGTGATATCATCCCTTGTGGAATCTCGAATTGTGGGAACAGAGCTCATTCACTGAAAGAGAATGAGTCAACCATGATTAACACTGTACAGTGGTGGTATCATCCCCTGTGGAATCTCGAATTGTAGGAACCGAGCTTCTTTTCCTGTACACTTGTACAATGATTTTTTGTAAACTTTAGCAACCTTTTTCTCGAGAACTGTTATTGACACTCTAAGGAAGTTGTTCATCTCTAGTGGAACAAAAAAATTGGAATGAGCTGAGTAGTATATACCTTGCTATTTTGATATGTAGGATTAGTTGTAGTTTCGATTGTTATTTCTTAGGGAAGAAGAAAATAGAGATTAATATGAAACCTTATATTGAGGACAGAGAGATGGTGTTAATTTTTAAATCTCCAATTACTTTATGATCTTTCCTTTTCTTTTTAAGGGGTTTTATCACAAATGGTTATTGAGATTGATCAAACTCATCATTTTGGTCCCTCACTTTCAAAATTAATCAAAGTCTTTCCTGACATTCACTACCGCACATCAATTGTTCATTCTGTTAAGATTCCATCAATTATTCTGTTAGTTTGTATGTGGGATCCATTGAAATGGTGACACATGGATTACACAAAATAAGGGTTTTTATCGCAAATGGTCCCTTACATTGATCCAACTCCTTATTTTGGTCCCCGGGGTTAAAAAATCGATAAATTTAGCCTCTGACTTTCAATACTGCATGTTAATTTAATAATTTCATTAAAGTTTCGTCAATATTTTTTGTCTCACTAAGCCACTCATATGGTGCCACATGGATTAACTACAAGAAACTATTTTTTTTTTTAAGATTTAAAACTAAAAGTAAAATAAGAAACTAAAAACTAAAACTAAAAGAAAAAAAAGTCATCGTCATCTTCATCAAGGTACGATAAAAAAGGAAAGGAAGGCACCATGACACCACCAAAGTACTTGCCCTCCTGAACTCATTCCTTATTCTCTCTAGTTGGTTATAATCCTATCAAATTTGAATTGGATTTGGATTCAATTTTATCGAATTAGATGGACTTTTTTTTTCCAATTGGGGTTGTGGGATGAGAGAAAAATGCCAGCACGAAATACTCGTATGTTGGTTTGCTCTTTAAAAAAAAAAAAGTTTCTTATAGTTAATCCACATGGAGCCATATGATTGGATTAGTAGGACCATATTAGCACCCAAACGAAAAATATTGATGAAATTTTAACGGAATGACTAAATTGATGTGCGGTAGTGAAAGTCAGGGACCAAATTTATTAATTTTTGAAACTCAGGGACCAAAATGAGAAGTTGTGTTAGATCCCACATCGCCCAGGAGAGAGGATCCTCTATGCCTTATTTGTACATGCCCATCGCCATATAGCACGAGGCCTTTTGGGAGCTTACTGGCTTCGGGTTCCATCGGAACTCCGAAGTTAAGCGAGTTTATGCGAGAGCAATCTCAAGATGGGTGACCCACTGGGAAGTTCTTGTGTGAGTTCCCAGAAACAAAACCATGAGGGCATGGTCGGGACCTAAAGAGGACAATATTGTGTTATGGCATAGTCGAGCCCGAGATGTGGTGGAGCCCGGGTCGGGATGTGACAATTTGATATCAGAGCCAATCTTGGCTAGAAGTGTGCCGACGAGGACGTTGGGCCCTTAAGGGGGGTGGATTGTTAGATCCCGCATCGCCTAGGGAAGATGATCCTCTATGCCTTATATGTATATGCCCACCTTCATATAGCACAAGGCTTTTTGGGAGCTCATTGGTTTTGGGTTCCATCAGAACTCCGAAGTTAAGCAAGTTTGCTCGAGAGAAATCCCAGGATGGGTGACCCATTGGGAAGTTCTCGTGTGAGTTCCCAGAAACAAAGCCGTGAGGGCATGGTCGAGGCCTAAAGCAGACAATATAGTGCAACGGCAGAGTCGACCCCGGGATGTGGTGGAGCTTGGGTCAGGATGTGACAAGTTAGATCAATGTCAAGGACTATTTGCAATAAAAATCCTTATTTTGTGCAATCCACGTGTCACCATTTCACTGAATTTGTGGGTCTCACATACAAACTAACCGAATAGTTGACAAAATCTTAACGGAATGACCAAATTGATGTGAGGTAGTGAATGTTAGGGACGACATTGATTGATTTTGAAAGTGAGGAACCAAAATGATGAGTTTGATCAATCTCAAAAACCATTTGTGATAAAAAAAACTCTTTCTTTAATTTGCTTGGCAACACGTTAAGCGCAGGTACAAATAGAAAAGTTATGATTCTTTTTTTTGACTATAAGATGACACAATTGCAACTAGAGATAAAGTTATAAACACTATAATTTATTTATTTTTTTTTTAAAGAAACCTTAACTGGTAAATATTCACTTGTTGTTGGAGATGTTACTAGCATCTGATAATATTTTACAACTACTTAATCTTACAATGCATTGCATAACATTTAGATAACAAGGTAATATTATTAAATAAATAAAAATAACACACAAATAAAATATACTAGTAAATGAGACTATGATATACATGGATATTGATAACTTTATGGGTCCAGCATGGTTCACCACCAATTTCACCGATATTATCCTAACTTAACCGCCTATTCTTAGGTGTTGATTTTACAGCCAAAGGCCTCAGTGATATTAAGAGTGGAAACTCCCATTTATTAACTGTATATTATTTTGTATCACTAGTAGGAAAAACAGCGTGCGCAACGAACAATATTTCGTCGCACAAGAGGTACTTGCACGATGGAAAAACAATGTCGTTGCGCAAAAAAGACAGGAAAGGACACAAAAAAAAAAAAATTTGTGCGACGAAAATCTTCATCGTGCAATAATACTTTGCACAACAAACAATAGTTGTTGTCGCACAAAGTCATCAAGAAAATGCGGGGTAATTTTGTTTGGCGTGAAAACCTTGCGCGACGAAAAGAGGACCTTTGCGCAACAAGGTTTCATTGCGCAAGTTGCTGCCAGTTTTCACTCAGACCATCACTGCAGGTGAATCAGAGGAATCAATACTCCATTTATTACAAATGTTTGCGTGACAAAGCCTTCGTCGCGCAAAGGCCCTATCCTTTCTATAAATATGCGCTTCTTTTATTCTTCACAATTCTGTTTGTGTTGGGATGGAGAATAAAAACAAGGATCATAGCGTGCCTGCCGCTGACCCGAATGATTTAAGGCAACATTTTGAGTTCAAGCATGCGATTGCTATAGCCATGCAGAATAATTGTCCTACTGCTGAGTAGCATTCTTGGAAATATGTGCCCGAGAATGCGAAGAAGGTGGTGATGGATGAATTATTAGTAAGTATAATGTTGATGGATCAATAATTTATTTTGTGAAATTTTTTGTTTTATGTTGGAATTAATTATTTGCATATATGTGTAACAATGTAAGTATACTCTTTGTCACATCCCGGCCCCGAGGAGGACTACTTCCCAGGCCCGCTCCACCACCGTAGCATGATATTGTCTGCTTTGAGCCCCGACCACGCCCTCACGATTTTGTTTCTAGGAACTCACACGAGAACTTCCCGATGTGACACCCATCCTGGGAATGCCCTCGCGCGTTACTCGCTTAACTTTGGAGTTCCCATGGAACCCGAAGCCAATGAGCTCCCAAAAGGCTTCGTGCTAGGTAGGGATAGGAATATACATATAAGGATCACTCCCCTGGGCGATGTGGGATCTTACAATCCACCCCCCTTAGGGGCCTGACGTCCTCGTCAGTACACCACGGCCAGGGTTAGGCTCTGATACCAAATTGTCACATCGTGGCCCAGACCCCCACCATATCCCGGGCTCGACTCCACCGTAACATGATATTATTCGCTTTGGGCCCCGACCACGCCCTCATGGTTTTGTTTCTAGGAACTCACACGAGAACTTCCCAGTGGGTCACCCATCATAGGATTGCTCTCACGCGAACTCGCTTAACTTCGGAGTTCCGATAGAACCCGAAGCCAGTAAGCTCCCAAAAGGCCTCGTGCTAGGTAGGGATGGGAATATACATATAAGGATCACTCCCCTGGATGATGTGGGATCTTACAATACTAGGTAGAGATGAGAATATACATATAAGGATCATTCCCCTGGGCGATGTGGGATCTTACAAGCCACCCCCTTAGGGGCCCGACGTCCTCGCCGGCACACCACGGCCAGGGTTAGGCTCTGATACCAAATTGTCACATCCTGGCCCGGGCCCCCATCACATCCTGGGCTCCACTCCACCATAGCATGATATTGTCCACTTTGGGACCCGACCACGCCCTCACGGTTTTGTTTCTGGGAACTCACACGAGAACTTCCCAGTGGGTCACCTATCCTGAGAATGCTCTTGCTGCGAACTCACTTAACTTCGGAGTTCCGATGAACTCCGAAGCCAGTGAGCTCCCAAAAGGCCTCGTGCTAGGTAGGGATGGGGAAATACATATAAGGATTACTCCCTTGGACGATGTGGGATCTTACAATCCATCCCCCTTAGGAGCTCGACGTCCTCGTCGGCACACCACGGCCAGGGATAGGCTCTGATACCAAATTGTCACATCTTGACCTGGGGTCCACCACATCCCGGGCCCGCTCCACCACCGTAGCACGATATTGTCCGCTTTGGGCCCCGACCACGCACTCACAGTTTTATTTCTGGGAACTCACACGAGAACTTCCTGATGGGTCACCCATCCTGGGAATACTCTTGCGCGCTACTCGCTTAACTTCAGAGTTCCCATGGAACCCGAAGCCAGTGAGCTC